TTTCCCTCTCTCCTCCCCCTAACTGTCTTCTCATTGTCAGTTTCTTCCAGGAAATCATCTGTTAAGATAAAACTTTATTTTATACAGTAAAAATGTTGTATCCAAAAATACTGCCTTGACTATACATACACCAAATACAGATTTTTTGTAAAATATACCATCTCTGGGTTTGTATGTCCTGTACACAGCTCACCATCAGCTATATTGAATCACTGATGCCCACCAGTGAACGCCAAAAGCAACTGAAGCGCCAGTATTGCTTTGAATGTGACTGTCTTCTCTGCCAGAATCAAGAAAAGGTAGGTTGAATGAAGAAGTTCCTTGCCAGTGAAACAGAATTTTCCAAGGCCTGTCAACAGCTTCCCTTCCTTTACATAATGCTTTTATCTTTTACTATAATTTAATGGCCAGGACAGAGAAGAAAGCCCTCTGCTCTCAGTGCTGTTTATGTTGCTATGAAAGACAACCATGAAGGAAAGAAAAGCAGGAAATGTTGACAAGATGATAAGAAGAATTAGTTGCTAAAACATGCGTTGTTCATAAAGCTGGGAACCACTTTCAGTTCCAAGATGTGGTTCAGATCATTCTGAGATTCAAGGTCCTCTGAACATGAGAGTTAACACGACTTTAAGCTGAAAAGAACATATTGTATGGTTTTTTTTCTATTCAAAAGAATGAATGGGGATCTTCAACTGAAGCCTCTTTTCTGATGCTACAGGAAACCTGTGCTTATCCTCAGAATAATGTTAAACTAATCATGAAAAATACTTGCATAAATAATTTTCAAGAACTACCAGACATATTCAGCAGTTACTAGAGAGAGTGGGGAACCTCCTTAGATGACTGTAACTTTTACGCTCTCTTTCTTGGAGTAGCCAGTCAGTAGCTGTAGTAGAAAAAATTCTGTTTGGCATGACCTATTCATTCAGTCTAACCTGGTTTAATTACATTCTGTGTTGCTTCATATGTATACTGCTTGACCAGAATAATTTTGGCTCCAAGCCTGATGAGACAGTATATGGAATATGCAACATGAGGCTGGCTTCATAGTAATTGATGCAACTTGTCTTTCTAGTCACATGTACACTTGTTCTTATTTTTAAAAAGGCCTGTTTGGGGTGAATCATGCTGCATGGCTATGAAAAAAATGTGATTCCAAGGAACACGATATAATTAGTGAAATAACTGCTGTACTGCAAAAAGGAAAAGAAACACACTATTTTAAACTCTTCTATGTTGGGCAGGACAGTTACGTGAGTGTTGTTTTTTTCAAGCTGAAGTGCACCCATTGAATACATAGTGTATCTTTCTGTTGGTCAGTAAGCAGTTCAAAAAAGAGAGCACAGAAAAGTTTCAGGCTTGTGACATAATGCTAGATCACTTCTTGCCCATGTGCAAAACTCGTTGGCATTCTGTGCCTGATAAAGATTGCTGCAATACTGCTCAAAAGCAGTGGAGGGAAGTTGGAGGCCTTTTTTTGTCTTTCTTTTCAAGGCAGTCAAGTGCCATGAAAAATTAGTTTTGGGGCAGTGACAAATAAGAAAAATAAGCAGTCTGAGTAGTCTTTAAGGATCGCTTAACAGTTTGGGAACGGGTAGACAAGTGGTGCAAAGACCATTCAGCATGTGGAATGTTAGGAGAAACAAAATCCACAAGCAGAGTACACTTCACTGTAAGAGTCAACATACAGCATCAAAAAATATTGTAGAGAAATTCGATGTGCACATATTGATGAAAACAGTAGTCTCACACATAGGTTAAAATTAATTGGTTATTTTCTCTTCAAAATTTTTAACTGTGGTTTGAGTTCATCATCTATAGATCTTTTTTGCCCATTGGCAAAATTCCCTGTGGGGCTGATATTACAAAATGCTTGGGAAGCTCTTTGTGACTGTGTTCTGAAATTCTGTAGTTTCCTTATTGTAACCATGTGAAGAGGTCTGTGAAGGGCTGGGAACCTCATGTCTTTTTTGTCTGTTGATGACATCACCCACAGCTTCAGTTAAGGATATTTAGATGTAATCAGCATCAGCCCTTATAATACTGCATTTCATTTATCTGTGACAGAGATTTTTGAAATGCAACTGTTTATGTCACTAACTTGGAAACATTTTTTCTTTACATTGATCTCAGTCACTGTGGGTAAGCTGAGAAGCACGTAACACTGCAGCTACAATGGGAGATAAGATATTTTTTTTTTAATTCTGGGGTTTAATTACAGAATGTGGATTTGGATGCTTAAAAGTCATTACTTGGCAAAACTATTAAATCA